TTGTATTTATACCCCGCCTATCTAGTCATTTCGACCACTCTAGGCAGCTAATCTAGTTACATCTGCAGAGCAACACTTTGCCCATCCGAAATCTAACAGATACAATTGCAGACATTCTGAGCATGGAGGCAAAGCAGCAGCTGGCTGCAAAGCAGAACACTGTTTACCACATCTGCTGATTTTTTACAGCCAAGCACCTAACAATACACTACTGAATCCAGAAAACATTTTGTTGCCCAAGGTAATATAAAATATTTCAGCTGGATGTAAAATTACAAGAGCATACGCTCAAGACATGTAATTTCCATTAATTTATATAATCATAAATTTATCTTTAAAGTATAACTCTTTGCTTTTTTTTGGCTACAATTATCCACTGAGTCTCATTTTTTTATGCCAATATTATTCCAGCTTCAAAAGTACTACTTGATCAGGCTAGGATTTGAACTCAAGACTACAAACTTATGATGAGCACAGTTTATAAAACTGAAAACAGTAGCTCTAAGAAAGCCAGTGGAGCTTGCGGGAGGGGGGAGCCTAGTCTGGCTTCAAAAACATTCACATTAACCAACCTGTAGGAATCTGAGTTTCATCAACCGGTAGATAAGAATCTGCCTCTATTGTGAATATATGGTCATAGATATTAGGTGATCCCTAAAATTTGAAAGCAGAAAATTGTAACAGCAAACACACAGAGCTGGAATTATGTATTGTCTGATATAAATACAAAGCTGTATTGCTTATGCTGTATTAACGCTAGTATTACAAGGCAAGGAACTGCTTCGCTAAATCAAAGTCAAAGCTCTATCATGGTGAAAGAGTCATTGGCAATCCATAGCAGTCACATTCTAGACTCAGCAGAAACGTATGAGCTCTAGGAATACAAAGAATGAAATGGAGCCTTCTGAAAAAGGACATAGGCTGTCCGACATCCTAATTCTATACTGCAACATTCTGCATTTCCTACCAACATAAATTCTACACAGCTGACATAGCCCAGCAATCCCCACATATCTTCTTTTATTTTGGTGATTGGCTCCAGAGAACCTCCTCAACAGAAACTGAATCCACACTTTGTATAAACAAAACGAGCCCTGCCATTATCATATGTGCACAGGTCATTTTCAGGTTGGATTACAGCATCGTACAGAGCTCGGCACATTACTTGTTAAAGGTATTCATAAATTCAGACATTAGCAGATCACTACTGTTAAAATCAGGGACGTGGTGGCGCTGTGGGCTAAACCGCAGAAGCCTCTGTGCTGCAGGGTCAGAAGACCAAGCAGTCGTAAGATCGAATCCACGCAACGGAGTGGGCTCCCGTCGCTTTGTCCCAGCTCCTCGCCAACCTAGCAGTTCGAAAGCATGTAAATGCGAGTAGATACATAGGTACCATCTCGGTGGGAAGGTAAAACGGCGTCCCCTAGTCACGCTGGCCACGTGGCAATGGAAACTGTCTTTGGACAAGCGCTGGCTCTATGGCTTGAAAAGCAGGATGAGCACCGCCCCCTAGAGTCAGACACGACTGGACTAAAAATGTCAAGGGGAACCTTTACCTTTACCGTTAAAATCACCCCATGTGCAAAAATAAATGCTTTTGTTGCTTGTTACTAATATGTTAACTAACTGTTACTATTAAAAGTGCAACCTTCAGGGAAGAAAAAAAAACATGAAAATACTCACCACTTCCCTCAAGTGGCCAACTCTGCCTACTACATGTTGAAAATAATGGGATAAATGCATTGCAAAGCTTCCCTTTGTTCTCACATGCTTTGAAGTTCAACCCCCTCCCAAAATATCCAATTGGAGATAGGATGTGATACACACTGAGAAACTGACATTTTGGCTCAGACAACCATTTCTTATGCATATATTACTTTAGTGAAAAAAATTAACTGCCATAACAAAATGTCTTCCCATAATACTTCATCCACTTCTCACTTCCCTGAGGATATCCAACAGGATAAGAATAAAGAATTAAAAATTACATCCATGTTATGTTGAGGGTCAGGGTAAAAGAAAGAATTCACTCAGGCTCCAATTGAAGATGCTACATAGGTTATCTCTATTGAAAGCTTAATTTAAGATCTTTGTGCAACTGAAGGAGTGCCTTCTGCTAAAGCGTCCACCCTACCTTTCCAGTTCATTAGACTGAAGACATGCTTGAAATAATCTTAGTCACAATCATGCCATCAACACAGGCAGTAGTGACTGGGTGAAAGCAGTCCAGAAGAAAACTCAACAGTATGAAGAAAGTTTTTGGCAAAGGAAAGAAAAGGGGGGGGGGGGGAAAGGTTTATGGTTGAGTTTGTCACAATTTCCTCAGTGATCCTTGAAGATCTTTCTTACCTGACCTGCAAGGTTGAAATATGCATGATTTGTCAGATTGACGGGTGTGGTTTTATTGCTTCGGGCTCTGTAATTTATTGTTAGCTCTGCATCTTTGAGAGTGTAAGTCACCCACACTTTGAGCTCACCAGGGTATCCTTCTTCAGCATCTGGACTCGTTCTGAAAAAACAGACACCATCCGGCAGCACTTCTGGGGTCCAGAGAGCCTGAAATACAATGTTTAACAAGTTTCAGGTGTGTAGATGCATCATTGGTTACAGCAACCTTGGGTAACTCAGGTGTTCTTGGACTACAACTCCCAGAAACCCTGGTAAGCAAAGTTGGCAGTGAAAGCTTCTGCAAATTGCAGTCCAAGAATGCCTCGGTTAGCTAAAGTTGGGAACCACTAGGTTAGAATATCATTAGAGTAGACTGCTACATGCCAAAACCTTCTGTATTACAATCGTAGATCAGATGCATTTTTTTAAATTAAATGGCAGCTTTTGGACAGCCCAAGACTTCTGCTCAATAGTAGTCTGCTTAACAAACTACTTCTTCCTTCTCATGTACCTGAAATACAGTCTGATTTCATTTATATTTCCTTCCTATTGTTTTCTCTGTTTTTAAGAATGTTATTTTATTTCTAATATCCTCTTCCAGAGAAAGAGAGAGAGAGAGAGAGACCCACCCACAAGCAAAATGTCCAGATGCTGATCACATTGCTGCAAGTATACATGGAAACACTGTGTTGGTTTTCATGTCGGTCAGCCATAGTTCTAATTTAAATGTTAAGGTTATTGCTCAATACAGAAGCACATCCTGTCTCTTGCTTTGCTTGTGGCAGATCAGTGGTTAAAACTGGATTCTTGGGGGGGACTGTCTTCATTAGTCAGGAAGGTGTTTGAGGATGCAAAAAATAGCCCCAGACTGGCCGAGCAGGAAAGCTCTCATACTGATCTGACTGATTAGAAGTATACTTCTAAAAGGATAACTGGTTGGAAGAAAATGAGGCTTAAAGTAATTCAGAACAGAGCCTTTTTTGAGGTGGCCCTACCTACTCCCACAGGAGACGAATCTATACCTACGGACTTTGTGCACGCAGTGCAGAATTCTTCTTGTGTGGTGGCTCTGGTCATTATAGTTCTAGTCAAAAGGAATATCTCCTTTTCTCACACACATGGAAACTAATGGTAGGCACTGTGTTTCTTTTCTAAATTATAGCTATTATTCATTGATGCTACAGTGGTAGCTTTCAATCCCATCCACTTTGGAAGGTGTAAAGTCTCTACTTGTACTTTTATCCACATGAACCATTTTGAGTGTAATTAAGGGTGAAAATGTTGCCTTTTTCATTGCCCTGCTCCAAGTTAGACTAGCTTCAGGCATATCATGTCTGAACATTTCCAAACAGCAGATTTGCAGCACCATCCTATCTACAATCTTTACCGGTCCTATATAACTGATCCATATTTGGGAGAAAGGAAGGCTCATGGTGTTCAATGGACTTAGTCATAGGTGAACAGAGTCTTTTTCCCTTTATAGACTCAAAGAGAGAATATTGCCTCTTCTATATACATGGAGTAGCATTAAAAGTATATCCATCAATATCCCTACCTCTCAAGCAAAGTGGGAGGGTGAGCCGTTGTTTGAATTTCTTTCAGCTTCAACCATAACATTTTGCTTTAAAGGGGGTCTTCTCCCAACCCTTTTGGGAAATTCATATATGACCACACAAATAAGCATCAAATTTTGGTTTTAATATTATACAGTTTCAGAGGGAGCCATATTCTAGACCAAAGATAGGCAACTTTGGCTCTGCTGAGAGCCATATTTTTTCCCGAAGTACCTACTATGTTGATGAGCTGCATCAAGCCCAGAAATGCTTATAAAAATGGGGAAAAAATCAAAAACAGAAATGAATGACTATGTACTTCTAGTTTTGACTTTTGAGTTGGGGGCCCACTGCAAAATCTACCAACCAACCCACTCCTGGAGACCTTTGGGAATAAAAAAAAGAAAAGGCCACATAGCTTATTTTCTCCTTCCCCTCAACCTCCGTTATTCCCCCCCTCCCTGAAACACTCCTGGAGACCTTTGGGAATAAAAAAAAGAAAAGGCCACATAGCTTATTTTCTCCTTCCCCTCAACCTCAGTTATCCCCCCCTCCCTGAAAAGCTTCTGTAGCCTCATTCTTGGCTATGTCATACAGTTTCACTCGAATTTAGCTAACTATCTTCCTCCATCATTCAACACAGTCCGCATTTATTGCCTGGAGAGGCTTTTTAGGGGCCAGAGAACTGCCAGGAAGAGGAATTAAAGGAAAAGATCAGTCATGCAAGCTGCATTTTGCTCACACAATGTTGGATGCTACTGGGTAGAAATATTAAGTCATTAAGGAAAAATGGCCAATTCTTATGAAGAACTGGTGTCATAAAGAACTGCCTTACACTGATTTGTACTGAATGTACTAAGCAATGCAAACATAGATAGACTTTGACATCTTTCTGAGCATTAGGAGATTTACCTGGTCAAAACCTTTTGTTCCTCCGTGTAAACTGTTGGGTCCATTGTTTATGGCCAACAGATATTCCTGTCCATCTACCACAAATTTCCCTTTGGCAATTCTATTAGCAACCCGTCCAACAACAGCTCCAAAATAAGGGTGCTTACTGGTGTATCCTTGAAAAAAAAACCCAGGAAAAATAAATACACGGAAAGGGGAGGGGGGAGAGAATGAATGGTTACTCCTATTTCAAAATTCATTAGGAAAGCAGTTAGACACTTTAAAAAAGCACACAGAATGACAAGGTAGCATACCCATTTAGCTACACATCATTAATAAATCCTGAACCAGCAATCATTTGTGAAAAGTATTCCAGCACACTTCCCAAGTCTTCTATGGGAGAGCTTCTCCATTCATCTCAATGGAAGGAACAGAATAAAGTCTGTAAATTGCTGCATGTGCAGAGATTGCCTCCATCTCCATTGTAATTAAATATGAAGTGGAAGCTCATAGGGATATACTCAGTAACAGTGTGAAGGAATGTTCTGGGTATCATAAAAGGACCAGATAAATTTTGGTTCAAATCCCCAGTCAGTCCACTGGTGATTATTAGCTAGTCTAATTACCTCAGGAAGACTGCTGAAAGGATAAACTAGTGGGAAAGAGAGCTGCATTCATACATCACCTTCCTTAAGGGAAGGAAGGGCACAGCAAAATGCAACTCACAAAAAAGAAAAAGAATAATTCTTTTTGTTTGTCTTGAGAACTGCATTTCTGAGGATTTTTAAAACTCACGCCTGCTGTAAGCTAAATTGTGAGACATTAAAAAAAGCTTAGCAACAAATTAGAAATAAAATTAAATAGAATTGTTCCAGTACAATAAATTTAGGGCCTTCTCTTCAAAAACCACGTTTCATGAGCTAGCTATGAATAACAGTGCTTGGCCAGTCTCCAGAACAGCAATCAAAATGTTTCTGCATTTGGTTCATATTGGAATATTATGATCTGATCTCACAGAACAGGAGTTGCCTCTCCATCAAATGATCCAAGTGTATTTTTTGTTCCCTGTCATGTATAATCATTGTGCAACAGAAAACAAAGCACTAAAAAAATAACAGTTGTTCAATCAAGGTTCATTTCAGGAATCAGCTTCATGAGCTGTCTCTGAGGCATTTAAGAGCAACGAGACAACATTTATGTAACAGCCAAGAATGTGAAAGATCCAGGGTCTAGTCCTCATTCAGCTCAGAAATTTACTGGGTGGCCTTCGGACAGCTATGGACCCAACTCACTTTATAGGATTGCTGTGAGGATAAAGAAAGGGAGAAGAGCTGTGTACACTGACCTGAGCTCATTGAAGGAAAGGTGGGATATAGCTAATAAATTCCATCTGAGCGAGGCTGTACCACTTCACACTGTAGATGGATTGGTCTCACTACTGCATATTGGTCCATCCAAGAATTTTCCTTCCTGCAGAAAACTAGCCTTGATGTAGAAGATGAGGCAACATTCCTTCTAGCATTCTTTGTTGAGGAGTTTATTTCTGCTATGTATGCAGTAACATTCAATCACACGAGCCGTACTCCAAAATGGTACAGTGGACCCTCTACTTATGGAATTAATCCGTATTGGAACAGAGATTTACCTGGTCAAAACCTTTTGTTCCTCCGTGTAAACTGTTGGGTCCATTGTTTATGGCCAACAGATATTCCTGTCCATCTACCACAAATTTCCCTTTGGCAATTCTATTAGCAACCCGTCCAACAACAGCTCCAAAATAAGGGTGCTTACTGGTGTATCCTTGAAAAAAAAACCAGGAAAAATAAATACATTCAATCACACGAGCCGTACACCAAAATGGTACTGTCCAAACATACCGCCTCGTCTGTCTTCCGTTTGCAAGAAGCTTCTATTTGTGATTGGGGCACTTCCTGTCTGGCCTAAAACAGGCCCATACTTCCCTCCCCCTAAAAAAAGGGCCCAAATGGCAAATCACAAATCAAATGGGGACACAATCAGTCATTTCACCAATGGCCCTCTTTTAGGCCTGAAGTAGCTGAGTGGGGTTGGTCTAGCATGGGATTGAAAATAACAAGCATGAGGCAGATGCACTTTTTAACCATCACTTGCGGAAGCCTCCCATTCCTAGAAGTTGCTCACCCTTCTATACATACTTTCTTGGAATTAAGCCCCACCACATAAAAAAAGGATGTACTTCTAATAAAACTTTTATAGGATTGCACTGTAAGTCTTTTGAATATAACACTGCTCTAAAAATAAAGAGCAGCTAGAATTTATGATTTTTGTTCATGCTTGAAGAGATCGGTTATACACCAAATATAGGCACAAACAGGAAAGTGCATAAGGTATTTTAGGAAGTGAGTTCCACAGACAAATCTGGAGTGGGAAACTGTGTTTCAAAACTTTCCCTGCTTCTCTGCCTGTTTAAAAAAAGTGGTCTGGAACATTAATTCCAAACAGACCAGTTTTATGCACCCCCTTATCTGAAAAGACCTGACTTTTTAGCTAAGTCTGGCTCTAATCATTGCTTTTAGAGGAAGCTTTTCTTCAAGAGGATGTTTAAATTTGTGTCTATTACATTCAAGCAAACCACTGTAATTGCTATCTATGTTCAGTGGCTAAACCACACAACACAGAAATTCTTCTGGATTTAAGTCTATGAGGTACAGGTTTCAATACTTTTGCAACTCAGGAGCGGTAAATAATAAATCTATGTAAGAATTGTTGAGATACATCAGATTATGGCACCTCATCGGTCAATGCAATAATTTAAACCCACCTTCCAAATGGTCAAAACCCAACACAATGTCTGAGAACTTTCCATCTCTGTCTTTTGACTCCAAGGCGGTGATTATGCACCCAAAGGATAGAACCTCCATTTTAACCGCGTTTGATCTGAGCAGGAATTTTTCCACAGTCCCTCCACCAAGGGGTAATTCCCCAAAGTTCTCTCTCTTCACTTCTGTCATCGCTTTTGCCTTGGAAAAAAAACTGTCTGCAAAAAAAAAAAGGGCCAGAGAGAGAGAGAGAGAGAGAGAGAGAGAGAGAGCAATCACATCAAAGAACGATCAAGTCAAGAAAACTAAGCCAGGGCTTCGGCCAAACGGATCCCGGCAACAGAAGCAAATAACACATAACAAACCACCTGATCTGGGAGGGAAGGCTTCTAGGGGAAAAAGAAACTTTCTTCAAATTTTGTCAGAAAACGGCCCGTCCCCAGCGCAGGAGGCGCTCATTCAGCCAAGAGTCGCCCAATAGATTGCAGCTCAATTCGATGCCTGCTTGCCCAGAATCAAATCGTGCAATCTCACGCACGGTACGAGTGTAAGGTAAAAGGTGAAGGAGCTACTGTATATATATTTTTACCCATTGAAAAGAACCGCCACTTCTCCCCCCCAAATTCAGAGGGGCTTCTTTCAGAATAAGTATGCACAGATACGTGAGCTGGCCAAGTATTTGCACAAAAGTAGTGAAGCGAGTTCGGGAGGAGTGAGACAAGTTTGCTTGAGGTTCAAACAGCCGTAAAAGCCGTTCCATCACGTTTACCCTTCGCTACATTCAGAGCAATTGTCTCTCCGTAAATGTGCATAAGATTATAGCTTTTACTGTATTTACCAACAATCAAAGTACGACTCAGCAACTCACAGGCTATAACGTGGCCACGCTACCAGGTAGAGGAATGGAAGCACAAAGCATCGCGATATTGCCAAACAATTGCATGCTGGAACTTGTAGTTCTTTCGGACACCTAACTCATCTTCGTAATACCGTAAAAAGAGATCTACATTTTTTTTTAACGCTACAGATAAACAGGAGGGTGTACAGGGTGTTGGTGAATTTATTGGTTCACAAATTTGCAGCTAAATTGGCTCAAGTTTCACTCATAAAGCTGAGCTTGATGGAACAGTTTCAGAATACTGTATTGGAAGCAGACTGTCAAGTTACATACAATTCTTCATTGGGCATAGGTTACAGCATTAAAAAGCAAACATAAAATGTTCTGGACAACTGATGTAAGTTCACACATTGTGCCGGTCTGAGGTTTAGATGAATGGCGCTCTAGTTGCACAGTATATCCAGTGTGGTAGAGGATAGAGGATGGACAAGGACTCTGGAGACCTGGGTTCAAATTGCTGCTCAGCCATGGAGATTTACTGGGGTTGTGGCACAGATAAAACTACATACTTCTGAAGTATTTTTTTTTTACCTTGAAAGCCCTACTAGGGTCCCTATATGTCTGTTCTGACTTGACAACACATAACTGTGGCATGGCAGGTTTAGCAGTTACTGTGCCTGGCAGGAAGATATCCTAAGCTGAGAGCAGGCTCTAACATTGTGATGTCATGTATGATGTCAAAAGCAAGCAATAGTCAAAAGTCCTGGCAGAGCAGGACAAGAGTCAAACATAGTTTGAACCTTGACAAGATGGATCTTCCTGACAGGTAATGCATTTATTTGGGCTATATACAATTTTATCCATTGAAAAGAATTTGGAAATGTAGAGGTCCCTTGAGCCACACTACCTGTGACACCACGAAAAGGTCATATGGGTTCAACAAACCTTATATTAAAATTAAGGGGTCGCAAAATAGAAAGAACAATCCACAGATAGCAAACATTTTCTTTTTTCCCTAGTCTTCTAAACTTCAAAATGCTCTAAGCAAGGAAGGGGATCGCAGAGATATATGATGTAGCTAAATTTGTTTTAGGGCAGAATATATAGATATTAGGGCCTAAAGCTTAAGGGTGAAATATAGTTGTTGGAAAGAAAATGCATGATAAAGATAACAGAATTATAGCAGGGGATGGCAATTGTATGTGGTGCATAGCCTTTATTCAATTTACTGAGCAACTTCTGATTCAGTCTTTAATCCAAACAAAGAATCATCTTCAATATTACAAAAAATGTGTTCAACAGCCAGCTAATGGTTGTCTAGTTACAGAGGTATTCTGGATATAGAATATCATGGGTATTCTGATGTCATGAGTGATGTCACAAGTAGGATAAATTCAAATCGCCTTGACAAAGTGTAAGACAGTTAACCAGGTGTGAGACAGTTAACAACAGTCAGTCTGCATTTGAGCACAGATCTTGAATTTGAACATGGATCTTCATGATAGGTGATGTATTTATTTGGGATTCATTGTTATCCTCAGGTAACTGTGTAAGTATTTAAGAGTTTAAGAATACAGAGGTTTTTTTTGGAAATCCCTCCCAAGTAGTCTGGAACCAACAACCTCTACATCAAAAGATGGGGACAAAAACATGAAGAAAAACTAGCACATACTGGTCTGAATCCTATTATTGACTTTTACCTATGCAGGGAAAGTCACGGAGATCTTGGTGGCAAACTGGCTCTTACAAACAAGGTGCTGGATGTGTTCCCCAGTGTGTGCCCAATCTTAGCATATTGTTAACAAACAGTAATCTGTCACCAACATTTATACATGTTCCTTTACACACGTATAAATATGCAAATAAGATTATGACCACTGAATATTTTTCACCAACATTTATACATGTTCCTTTACACATGTATAAATATGCAAATAAAATGACCACTGAATATTTTAAAATGTTCTAATAATGCTGATTTATAATACCATAAACAGATGGAAAAGAAGAAGACAACAGAGGTCTATGATAATGTGTAACCCTGTATTTCGTTTGGTATCGGTCTTTTTCATACTACTGACTGAGCTCTAGTTCATTATTTCAAGCAAACAAGAATCCAACAGCTAGTAACCATGTTTAACATGTGTTGGAAGGTAAAGCTAATGGTTTTACAGAACCACTCTGGTTCTGTAAATTCAGTACTGTTTTAATATTACGCATTATTTCATTGTATGTTAACAGTATAGTTTTTTCTCCACCTGTTTTTAATTTGTGAGTTTCCTGGTATCCTTATTTGTGGAGAAAACAGAACGTGTGAGTCAAATAAAAAAGTAAGGTAGGAGAAATGTTAAAATATTTATGGAAAACGTCCCCCCTACTCTTTTTCCTGATTGTTATAAGGGCCCTTCTGCTTCAAACACATGTGCCTTATTGCTTAGATAATTCCCCCAGCCAAAACTCCCTGGAGGATTTCTGGACATATAATCCAACAAACAAACAAACAAACAAACAGACTGTGAGGCAGTGAGGCCAGGTCTCTCTTCCATTCCTTAGAGACGGCTACAAACCTGAATTGAGAAAGAATAGGCAGGAAAAGAGGATGCACTGCTAAACATTTGAAGAACCACAGTAACAGCTCAGCAACTTGTTTCACTTGTCTCTGTGCAGTCGCACACATGAGAAAAGAGCAAGCTGACCATACTGAGGATAGGAGCAAATATATTAGCCAAAAGTTACAGACACAAGATCGTCATTACGCGGTCCCCTCTGTCCTGGGCATAAAACAACAATGGTCCATGAACATTTGCCATACCACCCTTAATACATCAAATTGTGTCTGATATTGGAAGCTAAGCAAGATTGGTCTGGTCAGTACTTGGATGAGAGACTACTGAATAACACTCAAGATCTCCAAATAGGGCTAGGAAATAATCTTCCCTGAAATTCTGGGCAATTGTTGCCAATCTACATTGACAATAGACTAAGTCAACCAATTATCTGACTATGTATAAAGCAGACTCCAGTGTTCTGTGTTCCACATGTCAAAAATAAACATTCATTGTTAATCTTCAAGGTGTCAAAAAACCTCTTTGGTTTATTTGGTTGACTTGTTGGTTTTTGTTGTTAAACCTCTTGGTTTGCAAAATTAGCTTTAAGAAATGCACTGGAAAGAAGATCATGTTACAAGGATTAGTACAGTGGTTCCCACATGTAGCTGAATGTCAAGTTCCAGAAGACAATGATGAAGATTCTAGGAGCTATGGTCCACAACATACAGAACTTAAATCTGGGGGCCACTAACTCAGAATCCTCTGTGAATTGTTTACTGATTGACTAGGCTACTAGTGTGCACAGAACACAGATAATTTTGGAAAAACGGACACCATTGGTATCAACTTCACCCATTCTTAGAATCCTACAGTGCTAACTGTAATTGATTACACCACAACAATAGTTCATTTTCAAATCTGACAACACTAAAAGTTTACTACAGCAAACTTTTAATGACAGTGTCAAGACCAACAGTTGTTGAGGCTGGATACAGAACTAGCAATAGGCTACAGCTAGACCAACAATTCTCAACTTTTGCTCCTTATAATTTGAACTCAGGTTTGCTCCCAAAAGCCCTAGTTGGGATGAGATTTTCAGATTTTCTCTATCATAAACACACCGTAATTCTCCAAATGTCCTACTCAGAAAGAAAGTTCCTAGCCAGCACTGGGGGACAACAGGAAGTTTGAGCAGCACTAGGCCTAACTAAATCTCAAAGCATCCTAATTTAGGCCTTTCTCCCAGATGCATCACATTCCGGTGTGATGAAGGAGCTGGAACCACTAAAGCTGTAGAAGTGTTTCTGGCCGAGGGTAGATCAAAGGATTTGGGGGAGGAGCTAGAGGACTGGAGATGGGAGCATATAAAAGAGGAGGGAAGAAAGAGGGGAGGAGAGTCACCAGGGGAAGAGAAAAGTGTTCAAACAGAGGAGACTGTCGTAGAAATGGATAGAGTTGCCAAACTGATAAGAGACTTCCCTAATCTAATGAAAGAGGACGGACTGTTGCCCGTGCCACTGGAACTGAGAAAGAAGAATCAGGGTGAGCCAGCGAAGTGATGGAGTCAGCAAGTGGGTTCGATTATTCGGGTGTCAGAAGCCAGCGAGACCCCCTATGGGGCCAGCCCTTATCTGCCCAGGTTGGAGGGTTCGGTTGTGAAACACCCATGTTGCAGGACCACTTGCACGGTGTTGAGAAGAATATGATGTCAACCTCCCTCTCTGAGGTGAAGAGAATGTAAACATTGAGAAGCCTGTTGATGTTGTGAAACCAAAGAAGTATAACTTGTTGACAGAAACCGATTTGTTGGACCCACTTGGTCTTGGTTTACCAGATATTAATTGTAATAAAATGAAGTTATTTGGGACAGTAACGTCTACGCCTTCAGTCACTCCCGCCAAAACCCCGGGCCCACCTACATTAGTCAAAGAACCCAATCACAGGGAACAACAGGAAGTTTGAGCAGTACTAGGCCTAATTAAATCTCAAAGCATCCTAATTTAGGCCTTTCTCCCAGATGCATCACATTCAGGTGTTTGTAAGATGTCTACAAGGTAGGCAGAATTCCCAGAATGGAGAAATATAGTACAGTATTTGTTGTCCAAAAATTCTGAAAAGCACTAATGCACTTCTTGCTTCATATAGGTTCTCTGAACCCACAAGTCCAAATTTTTAGACCAATTTAATTACTTTGTAATCTTTACAAAAATTTTATGGAGCAAAAAAAAAGGTCTTTGAAAGGAACAATATTACTTGAAAGCTGTCAGGAACTAGTTGGGACACTCAGCCACCAGAACTGCCCATCACTAAAGCTTTTAAAGCCATAAGGAGAGAATTAAACAAAAAATGTCTGTGCCACTCCCACAATGCCTTAGTCCAACAAACTGACTCCGCCAAGCTAGGTATTTCTGAAAATAGATGACTGAAGAGCAGCCTAACTGGAATTTGTGGACCAATAAAGACACTTTTAGGATAAGAGCTGCCACCATCTTGAATTTTGAAGCTGCCTCTGCCAACAGTGACCTTATTTCTTTCCTCGTGGAGCTAAAAGCTCTGGTGATAGGTGGCTCTGGTGGGTGGCAGTTCTTGCACCACTCTATATTTTCTCTGTCTGAACTGTGGGGGATGACAGTCCCTCTACCACAGCATGTGCTGTCACTAACCTTCATCTTCTTCTGAATGATAGGAATTGAGATGTTGACAAGCAGTCCTCATGCAGTGAGATGCAAAAGCTTTTCCCTCCCTACCTCAGCTAAGCTTACAGCACCTCTGCTAATTGTTTCACAATTCTGCAACAGTGCTAATCAACAGGAAATGTCGCATTATGACAGCACTTTGAAGTAACTAGTTACAGGCAGTTGTAGGTAGATGTAACTGTTTTTGTAATTAAAATGTAACTAAGGTCACTTGAAAGGTAATTAACAAGTACTTACAAAAACATTTGCGTGTGTGAAATCTAGTTTTCCCATATCTTTCAGGACATTTGGTCAGGAATTTTGTTAAGTTTTATATCCATTGTAATCTGATGGCTGAAATACTGTTGCTTTAAATTATGCCATATAAGGTTGATGATGCCATCAACTACACGAAACTTTTGGAAATAACAGATTTCTAATTTCCCCTTGAAGGTCCCAATTTTCTTGTGAAATCCCTTTTGTAATAAGGATGCCATTGGGGGACCATGGGGCGTATTTAATTTCCAAAAGTAATCCCAACAGTCTTTTAAGATTATTTTTGAAAGGAAACTTTCCACATGTGGCTATATTTTCTGTGCGGGAAGTATATGTGAAATGTCAATGTAGTTGTTACTGTGCAATCTTCATCAACTGTATTTCCTGTTGCTACATACGGAAAGCTTCCTGGTTGCAGTACATCTCTTGCTCAAAGAATTCAGTTAATAATATACTGTAGTTTGTTGCCTTCCTTTCATTTATAACTTAATTCACTGGCTTGTAATCTATTAATCATAGAATAATGAAGTTGAAACCTGGCTTCCTATTACTTGAGCCCATTCATATGTGCCCTGCACCCTGCGATGATCAAGAGCAGATCCTGTCCCACCTCTGCATGACAGCCTTTCAAGTATTTAAAAAGTGCTATCCTACCTCCCCTCAATTTTTTCTCTAGGCAAAACATGCCCAGTTCAGTCTTTCCTCATTTACTGCTGAGACTACAAAGCAATCTGGTTGATCTGTGTACAGCCAAAATTATAAAGATGCTGTATGTGTATTGGGCAGTAAATCTGCAGTATAAAGCACATATATACATTATTTCATGCATGTCATGTCACCAGCTTAGTGAGAGGAATGACTGTACAAAGCAACCACTTGTAGCACCCGAACTCACAAACTTATTGTTCTAAGAGGAGCTCATATTATTAAGGTTATCATAACTGGGCCATAGGAATTTGTGCTTCTCAGCATGTAGCAGCTCCCCTTCCTAGGAGGTGGGTAGCTGTCCTTGTTCATTCTTCCTTGCCAATTTCAACATAAGCAGGCTAGTATGGAAGTGAGGCACAGTTTTTAAAGGTTCTCCCTGTCATACTGTAGCCCTTTTATTCCGGAAGGGAAAGGTACACCATCTTTGCAGAACCTGGCCTACACAGGCAGGTAGACATAGGAGGGTTCCCAGCATGTGAGGACTGGGTGCATCCTTTTGCCATATTGTATCATTCTGCATCCCTCTCACTTCTGTTGCAACAGATTCAAGACCTGGAGTCTCCCTAACTAGACTGATGATCTGGATAATGATCTAGATCAGATTACCAAACAGCCAAAGAGATATAGTAATAACAGAAAACTGCAATTACTTTGGTAAATGTTGGAAATTCCAACTTTGCCAACATTCTAAGGTCCAAAAATGTCCTTCTGATATGGATAGGTGACGTAATAGTTCTAAGATCACAGAAAATTGAGAAAGTGAAAAGTGCAAGTTAAGAAACATGAGACAGTGTAGAGTTAGTGTAGTAAGGGGGGATACATATATGGGCATAGGGGCACTTAGCGTCGCGTGATAGTTAGAATGTGAGCTCTCCACATTGGTCAGGATTGGCCAGAGGGGGTTTGCATTGCGTCGGGTATAAAATGTATTGCTGAATGCTTGAATAGCAGAGGCCGCACCCCCAGGTGCGTTCTCTCCATGCCTGCAGGCATGAAATAAAACTCGCTTGCTGTAAGTCTTTGGTGTGTGTGAGTGTGTTTATAGCAGAGTACCACATTTTGGAATAGGAAGCTAAAAGCAAAGAAACAAGAGGATCAGTTGTTCAAGATCTGGTCCTAGCTGACGAGGAACTGGTCGAATAGTGAGAACTTTGGCTGGAAGTGACCATACCATCTTGGAATTTGTTATACTGAGAAAAGGGAAAGCTGAAAATAGTGTAATGAGCAGTCTGGACTCTAAGAAAGCTGATTTCACTAAGCTAAAGAAATATGGAATGATATCTCAGGGTCAGAAATACTGAAGGAGAAGGGAATCCATGATAGATGGAAGATAACAAAGGCACAATCACAAGCAAATCCTATGAAAAAGAAAAGTGGAAGACACTAAAAGAAATTGGGGTAGCTGCATAAGGAGATTTCAGATGAGCTAAAATTTAAAAAGAACATGTGTAAGAAATGAAAGGGGGCTTTAAATCTCAAGAAAGGAGTACAGATGCACAGCCAATAGTTGTAGAAAGGAAGTTAAGAAGGTGAAAGCACATGAGCTCAGAATTGCAAGATAGGTTAAAAACTATAACAAAAAGGGAGGATTCAACTATGCTCAAAGCAAGATGAAGAACAAAGAATTGATGGCAAGTCCACTATGAGGAAAGGATAGTGATTAATGGGGACATAGAAAAGACAGAACTGCTGAATGTGTACTTTGCCTTTGTCTTATCCCCAAAGAAAAAAATAGTGCTCAACCTAGTGCAGGCAGAATAAATGAGTAAGGGGAGGCTACTACCCAAGACAGCCAAAGAGGTGATTTGAGCACATCTAACCAATTCAAATGAATTGAAATTTCATGGTCTGGATGAACTGCACCACAGGGTACTAAAGAAACTTCAAATGTAGTCTCAAAGCCTGTTTCTAATATTTGAAAATTCTTGGAGAACAGGTGAGGTCCCTGAAGACTGGCGGTGACGAAATGTCATTCTTATCTTTAGAAAGCAGATATAAGGAACAATTAACCAGCCAGCTTTATACCAGGAAATTCTAGAACAGGTCATTAAACTTTTGGCTTGTGAGCACTTAGAAAACACTGTGATTTTTAAGACCCTGAATGGATTTTTAAAAAGTCAAGCCAGATTTATTTTATTTATTTCCTGGCAGAATTATGAGTTTAGTAGATCAGGGGAATGCTATGGATATAATGTACGTATCTAATTTCAGCAAGGCTTTTGACAACGTCCTTTAATATTCTAGACACCAAGCTGGTAAACATCACTCTACATTTGGCTCAAGCGATCACACTGTCTGAGCTGAAAAGAATGCATTTGATTCCAAAAGTAGAAGCCCAAGTGAAACATTACAGATGGGGGAGTGCTCTAGACATGAACGTTTACATCAGGTACTCAAAAGAAAATAATGCAGATCAGACCATCCCAACCCCAGAGCATTTCCCACTTTATTTGTCAATATAATTGTACCCTGGGTATACAGTGAGAAATGTAAATTTTGATTATATTTCATAAATTTAAAAAGAAGTAGTGTTAGTCTGTTGTGACAGAAACAATAGAATCTTATGGACCTTAAAATACAAAAATCTTATTTGGCATTGGCTTATGTGAACTGTAGCCCACTTTTTCAGATGCAACATAACACAACTGAATAAGTGAGCTATAACCAACAACAGTTTATGCCAAATAAAAGCTTCTTGTTTGCAACTTCAAAGTAGTGCATTAACATATGTGAAAATGAGCTCGGGTAAGAGTAAAATTTGTAACACCTGGATTTTGTCATAGATTCTCAAACTGGCCAAACCAGAAGTTGGAAATGGCCAAACAAACACAGGCTGAAATCCTGTTGTGTAATAATTTGCAACTAGAATGGGCCAACTGAAAGGATGAAACGTAGAGGAGGTGACTCACCAAAGCCCCGCCCCCAAATTCAATAGGTCTATTCTAGTTGTGACTTATTATGTTAAACAGTATTTCAGCTACACTGTATATCAGTAGACGAAAAATGGCAGCTTTAGTTTTTTCCTTTATAATTTAAGCTTTTGTATTAAAAGGAGCCAAACTTTTCTATTTATTACATTGACTTTAAACTGTTGTGACAAAAAGAACATAACCTGTCTATTTGTTGAATAAATATAGGTTGAATTAAGAATTAAGATGATAAAATTGTGATAAGAATAACCATTAATGATTATGGCATACCTATCAATATAATTAGATGGTCCCAGTATTTTGAATGTTGTTTTTCCTTACTTCCCCCACTTTGGTTCAGGGGAGGATATTGCTTAAGCAATTCTGTGGTTATATTCAAGTGTACATGCACTTCCTTTCTAACTGGAGGGTGTCGAGGTGAAACCATATGCAAAAGACAAAAACCCCTGTCTAGTTCAGAAAAAGCTTATCATGTAAGACATAAAGATACCCTTAAAAGATGACACTTCAAAAAGTGGTCAGTCAATAATTGAATATCATGTAATACATTTTCTGTATGAGCTCCAGTTCAGATCCCAATGAACTTTTCCATATTTCCCAGGAGAACTGAATTTTAAATCAAAACATTACTATCCCAAGACTGCCAAATAAAGATGTTAAAAAAAGTGACTATGCCAACAGAAATTATGACCATCTCAGTACAAGGTTCCTGGGAGATCACATATCCATGTTCAATATATCTGGCCCTGATCAGACCATACATTGCCTGTGTCCTGTCTATCTCTGTGGACACAACAGCAGGATAACGGGACTCTTATACTTCGCATTGACTGTCCATGCCATCTTCGTAATATGTTCGCCATGAAAATGATTGGCACACAGGTTTTAAGATCCCCAATGCCAGGCTGTAGCCTCACAAGATGTTGGTATGTTTGCCTTACTGTACACATCTCCTGATGTGAATATATTTATTTAAAATATATTAACCGACCTTTCCCCTTGAAAAAGGACCTAAGGTGGCTTACAAACAAAGAGAATATTTAAAGTTGAAAACAATTAGTATACAAACGGTGGTTAACATAATTAAAAGGCAATACAGTGGTGCCTCGCTAGACAGTTACCCCGCATGACAGTTTTTTCGCTAGACATTGACTTTTTGCGATCGCTATAGCGATTCGCAAAACAGTGATTCCTATAGGGGAATTTCACTGGACAATGTTTGGTCCCTGCTTCACAAACCAATTTTCACTAGACGACGATTTTGACAGCTTCCTCCGCGCTCGCAAAACAGGTGTTTTTGAGACCTAAGCTTCGCAAGACAGCGATTTAAACAGCTGATCAGCGATTCGCAAAGCGGCTTTCCTATGGCCGATCTTCGCTAGACAACAACGATTCTTCCCCATTGGAACGCATTAAATAGGTTTAAATGCATTCCAATGGGGATTTGCTTTTCGCTAGACAAAGATTTCGCTAAACAGCGATTTCAGTGGAACGGATTAGCATCGTCTAGCGAGGCACCACTGTATTTAAAACTACAAAAAAAATGAGGAAGCATCTTACAACATTAACAAGCAGTATTAAGGCAAAAATCAATAAGTGTACAAAAAGCCAGTCTGAGAAATGGAAAGCACAAGTACAGTAGTACTGTACTAAAAAATCCAGTCAAAGCAATAATGTATAACAGTCTATCTAAAAATCACACACAGGTAGCTGATTTACTGAGGGAAGGCTTGCCTGAAGAGAAAGGTATTTGCCAGTTTGCGGAAAGATAGCAAACATGGAGCCATATCATATATGACATAATGAAAAGCAACATGCTTTCATGAATTAGCACAACCTTGCCCAGCCTCAACATAAAGACAGTATAGAGGGCATGAGGTGCGGGGTGGCCATGGTGATGGTGTCACCTTTTAAGTTTCTTAACATGCCCACATCAGAACAGTAACAATGTGCAGCAAGATGCAAAAGGTACAGCTGGTGAAGAAGGGGCATGTGATAAACTGTAAGAGAAATCACAAGGCAAAGAAATTAAGACATTATGAGAATTAGCATAATAACCAGTGTCTGTATTCCCTCCAAGAGAAAACTTGCAGATACTCTATTTTCAAGTAAAGATTATCCATGTTTTCGTGAAGGCTTTCACGTCTGCGATTTAATGGTTGTTGTGGGTTTTTCGGGCTCTTTGGCCTGTTCTGAAGGTTGTTCTTCCTAACATTTCGCCAGTCTCTGTGGCCAGCATCTTCAGAAGGACAGCACTCCTCTGTCCGCTGAAGATGTTGGTCACAGAGACTGGCGAAACCTTCAGAACATGGCCAAAGAGCCCGAAAAACCCACAACAACCGTTATCCATGTTTCTTGTCTTTGCTTCAACATCATTTTTTTGCACCCAGCATAACTTGATCCAATACTGCAAATCTATGCATACTTTCCTTAAGCCCTATTAAACTTAGTGATAACTAACTTTTGACTAAACAGGATCTGCAGTTCCAAGATTAATATTTTGAGATTGTAATGTAATGCTTCGTCCTTCCCATATATCCTTCACCAACGTAATTTTACCCTATTCCGCTATTTTGATTTCTTTCTGCAGCTTTAGTTTACTTATCATAAACTTGAAATAAAAATATGACCCCTCTACTGGATATGCTTATTCTTATGGAGCACCCTTGCAGTAGGGGCTGTGTCTAGTCAAATAAAGCAACAACGAGAGAGAGGAAGGATGGATCTCTAGGAACATTTCAGATCACAGACTTCCGAGAGAAAACAAACCAACCCAAAAAGACCAGCCCAGAACAGAGAACTATTTTATTGTCCGCCCCACAATTCGGCGGGAACAGCCTTTTTCTCATTCCCAGTGCACAACTCGTGAAAAAAAAAAGGCCTCGCGCCACGACCGTTGGCCGCGGGAACGGCTCGCGCGCGCTGCCATGCGCGTCCCTGTACCGCCTTTCTCCGAACCCTGCTTCACGAAATAGACGGAGCCATTACCCGCCAACGGAGAACAGAGAAGGCCGTAGGAAAAAAAAAGAGGAGTGGGAGGGTGGTTAGCCGGGAGTGATAGACGTCGCTTTCCTCCAATCGCACGTTCCAAGCTTTGTGAGGCGCTTGCCCGCTAACCAATCATGATGCCCGATCCCACGAATCGGCCCAATGGCTGGACAGAGTTATGCATCACCCTCTTCCCCCGCAGCCTCTCTGTGTGTGAGGGAAGGTGCGTGTGGTTAATAGATGTGTGTGTGTGTGTAAGTACGCGCGTAGTTGAGTTTTTTTGTCTCATCTGAGAGCATCCCTGCCGGCCCTGTGTGACGGGCCCTTTCAGCTCCGTCGCGCGCGTTGGGCCTGCCAGTTGTGACGCCCCACATCTCCACACACAGACGCGCACAAACACAGACACACACACACCCCTCTTGGCCAAGACCTGCCGCCGCCGCCATGTCCTCGCCGTCGTCTGGAGAACAGTATGAAGAAGAGGAGGACGGCGCGTACGAGACTCAGGCCAAGCGGTTGAAGCCGAGCGCGGCCGCGGAAGAAGGCGAGATCGAATATGGGGCCGAGGAAGGCGAGAGCCGCCGAGAGAAGGCCGCCCCACGCAGCGGGGGTTTCTCCGGCGGGGTAAGGTGGTCGCGAGTGCCGGCGAGGGGCGTCGTGCGTCGCCTCACGGGTTGCGGTGGGAAGGCGGGACACGGGCGGGAGAGGCCGCCTGCCGCCCCCTCAACGGGCTAGGCACGTTTACTCGGAAGTAAACCTTAGCTACGGCGTACTCCCGAGTCAGGGTGCGTGGAATTACTACACCCTTAAGCCCTCCGTTTCTTCCTTCAGCCCCCCTCCCCCGGCAAATTTTTGCTTTTACTCCTCATTTTTCCTTGCAAACGTGCATGTGGGAAGTTGAGCTGAATATCTTCCACAGGGAGAGGTATTCTTAATGGCCTTGAACTGAATGTGGCCCCAAGCCACGATGCATCCATCTCACAAATGTGGAAGTAGTCTCTGCTTCTTTTTAAAAAGTACAGGATGTACGTGTATGTGTACTGTATGTGGAAAGAAAGAAGAAGAAAGTACCATGGTGTTGCGGCATTTTAAAGGCAAGGAAGGTTTATTTGGCGTAAGCTTGTATGGATTTTCTGCAGACCAGGTTTCATATGTCTCTAAAGTGCACAGGGGCCGCCCTCTACAAAAGACTGTACCAAATAAGAGTTGTTAGACTTCCAAGATGCTGCCAGATGCTTGGTTGGTTTGGTTGCCATAGATTACGGACTAAAACAGAGTCCTGGAAACGTGTGAGGCCACTTCGTCAAATGCAACATGAGTTGTGCCACAGTCTAAGAAAGGCTAAGAAAATGTAAATCTACTTTCTACATTCGATTCCTTTCTTAAATGTTTTCTCCTGTTCTTTCTCTAGTAAGTGGCAAAAAGATGTTGCTTCAGGAAACTGCATTGTTCTTGCACTTTAGTTTGTTGTTTTTTCCACTTTCGGAAAACTAGGAGGACAGTGTATGGAGGGAGACCTTTGAGTATTCCAGCCTTTCCCCCATATGACATACATTTTTTGAATTTTCTATGCAAAATGTATTTATTTCTTACTTGTTTATATGCTACCTTTCTCCTCAAGGCTGCTCACAACAACCGAAACTATAAAACAGTCAACAGTTAAAAATTCTATATTGTACTACAAACAATTACATAAACATATTAAGATTAAAAACCAAGATTAAAAATAATTTTAAAAATCTGTAAGATTAAAACCAAAGTATGATATACTTACTGCTTAAAGGTCTGCCTAAAGAGGAAGGTCTTTGCCTGACTATGGAAGGCCAAGAGGAAGGGAGCCAACCTGGCTTTGCCAGGCAGCGATCTCCCTCATTGAGTATTTTGATCTTTCAGTGCAAAAATACTAATACTGTATATTGGGAGGGAAAGAGGCTGCTGTTCTAATGTCCATCCTGGTTTTTAGGAAACCTTGTAGTGCCTGGCATGGAGCATTATTTATCTGTATTATACCCATGATATATCCCAATAGCTGAAGGGTTTGATCTACACTTAATCATGTTTTGAGTAGACTTATTGAAATTAGCAAGGCATATTAATCAGAACTTACTGATTTAAGAAGTTTATTTGGATCCAAACTATATAGTGGTCTAGTACTCTAGTTCTTTATTAAGCAGCGCAACAGCAATGATAACAAGCTAGCTTAGTGTGAAAAATTTGATGTTCTCAAGAAGACTTGGCAGATATTTAGAAAATGCTTCAGTACATCTGAATGCTGTTACTAAAAGACAGATGATGCATTTGGATTTCTTTTTATCTGCACAATTTTAGAAATTGATAAGTAAATTTGAAAAAGCCTCACTTATTCTTCATCTTTAAAATCATCTGCAATGCTAACTTGAACTACCAATACAGTAAAACTAAACGGATGAATATCAGATACACGTATTGCTACAGTGAACTGTTACAATTTTATTGTACTGTATGTTTAATGTATATGACAAACTCAACCAGTTTCTGAAGCTTTTATACCTACTTAACTGACCCTATTAACAGTTCATTTTTTATTTCATTGTTCTTTCTGCTTTACACTTTGTTCAGCAAAGTCTAATACTGTATCCAGTAAAATTTTGTAACAAGATGGAAGGTTTCCCCATCCTTACAGTCTCAGGGTTTTTCTATCTCCTCCTGTGTTAGGCAGATGTTAACCAAAGATGTTAACAGAAAAAGATGACAAGAAGTTTAAGTATTGTGTTTTAGAAATTTGGATTCAGTCTTGTGTATCTTACTATGGGTTATTTATGTCTGATATTGAGGTCTGTAGTTCTGTATTCTGGAAGTCAAGCCTGGTATAATTAAAATAAAATGTTAAGTACTGTACTATACTGGAAACCTATCTTGATTTGTAGAATCTAGGTTATGCAGCCTAATCTCAGAAATCGTAAGCAAGTGCATTTTTCATTGTCAGTTACAGGAAGGGGATTTTTTTTTTCATGTTTCCTTCTGCAGTGGTAAAACTTAGAGGTGGGAATTCCCTGCCATAGGAGGGTAGGCTAGTCCCATCTTTGCTGTCATTCCACAAGCTGAAGAAGACCTTCCTCTTCAGGCAGGTTTCCTCTTAGTGATTGGCTGCCTGAGTGGGGTTGTCAAACGGATTGTTATGCCTTGTTGCTTTTGCATGTGTTTGTAGTGTTGATACTACTTTTACAATTGTTAATATATGTTTAATTCTTTTTAAATATTTTGTATACTTATTATTTTTTTAAAAAAATTTTTAAATGATGTAAGAACCTATCTTGGGTCTTTTTTAAGGAGAAAGATGGGGTAAAATATTTTAAATAAATACATAAATAAAACATATTCAAATGCTCTGGCATTTTTTAGAAATTGAAACAGGATTTGAAAAAATATGCAGGAGTGGAAATGTTTCCATTCTTAACAATGTCTGAGGATAGAGTCCCAATCAGCTGCAGTGTTGCATATGATAGTATTGTTGCAAACAATCAGATATTTTCAGATTATTTTTTTGTTTGAACAAGTATATTCCAACAAATGTTTAGATGATGGCTTACAATTTGATAAGGATCAACTTGTGAGAGTTTTATCACTTCATTGTTCATAGTAGTTTATCTTGTAATTATAATCTGAAAAATAATAAAATCAAATATTTGCTCTTGTCAGGATGCAGGTGGTAGTCATCATAAAGTTTCTGTTTCTCCCGTTGTCCATGTGAGAGGCCTCTGTGAATCAGTTGTGGAAGCAGACCTTGTGGAGGCCCTTGAAAAATTTGGAACCATATGGTATGTTTTATGCATACTGTATCTTTTGTGATTCAAAGCAAACTTTATAAAGCTTTTATTTATTTTCACAGTGAATAATTTGAAATACTGACATGGGAAGCTACCTTTATATTATCATTAACATTTGAATGTGCTATTTATATTTAGAATGAAGTAAAGAAATGTGCTCAATTTAAGGGAAAGGGGTGTATTCTGATAACAGCTGAGAATAATAAGTAGCAGCCATGAGTACTGGGATGGCCTTTCTGTTTGCCGACTTCTAACAGAGCACAGCAGCAGAATAAAACTGGGGCAGACCCCAAGGAGTAAGCAAACTTGGTGAGCTAACAGGAGTTTGATGGAGGAGGCCACTTATTTAAAAAAATGTTTTCTGGATATAATCATATATTAGTGGGCTTTTCCAGCAGCCTTCCAAGGCAAACAAGACAAAGAAAATGGCACTCAAAGACAGAAGAAAGTAAAAAGGAGGGAGATGCAAGCTCAGAAGTAAAGCTAGATGAGGACTTTTGTACAGTACAATAAGAGAAACAGACTAAGCAGTTCTAATGAAGCCCAGTAGTGATGATAAAGGAGGAAGGAAAGCAGTCCATAAATCACCCTATTTATGAATGCGAGGCTAACAATCTGTTTAGGTTTCTCTCCTGCTGCTCCAGGAACCTGTCTCCATCTGTGTGGGGGTGGATTGGGCTTCATTTTAAAGGGGAATTAAACAAACTGGCTGCCTGTGCAGAACCCTGACAGAGCTCTGAGGAAGCATGCGCTCGTGGAGCTTAGAGAGAACACTGGCCAAGAATATGGGGAACAAATAAGAACTAGAAATCTTAGTACAGGAGCATGAATATGGATTGATAAGGATAATTGATACTTGGTGTATTGATTCCTATGACTGGAATACAGCAGTTGAAGGATAATATCCAACCTACACCTTGTTAATTTACTAATCAGACTGTCATGGGTGTGGCTCGTCTTTTGACTGTAATAAAGAGCGAGCGAGCGCGAGCTATCGATCGATTGATCGGACACTTTGTCAAAGCTTTGCTGAACCTCCCTGCTAAACAGTGAGAATGTTGTAGATGTAATATATCTTGACTTCAGCAAAGCCTTTGACAGAGTGCCCTGTGAACAAGCTAATGAGGTGTGGGTTGAATAGTCCCCAAGTGTCAGGTGGTTACATAGTGTATTTCAGAGTTGTGCTCAGAGTGCTTATGAATGGCTCCTCATACTGGGAGGAGGTAACAAGTGGGGTACTATAAGGCTCGGTCCTGGATCCCGTGCTCTTCAACATTTTTATTAATGACTTGAATGAAAGATTGCAGGGAATACTTAGTAAAGTTGCATATGACACAAAATTGAGTGGAATAGCTAATGACTTAGAAGACAGGAACAAAATTTGAAACAATCTTGACAGAGTTGAGCACTGGACTGAAAGCAACTGAATGAAATTTAACAGATGAATGCAAGGTTCTAGACCTGGGAGGGAAAAAGCTCAATGCTATTAGGCTGTATTAACAGAAATATAGTATCCAAATCCAGTGAAGTCTCCCTCTGGACACAACACTTTAAGAAGGATGCTGTCAAAGTAGAACAAGTTCAGAGGAGGGCAACAAGGATGATCGAGGAACTGGACACGTTTGACCTTGAGAAAAGAAGGTTGAGGGGAGATGTCATAGCACTTTTCAAATATTTGAAAGGTAGTCATACAGAAGAGGGGCAGGATCATCCCATAGTGCAAAACATGTGATAATGGGCTCAAGTTACAGGAAGCCAGGTTAGCTGAATATCAAGAAAAACTTCCTAACTATTAGAGCAGTACGACAATAGATCCAGTTACTTCAGGAGGTGGCGAGTGCTCCAGTGTTGGAGGCATTCAAGAGAAAATTGGGCAACTATCTGTCAGAGCTACTTTGATTTGAATTCCTGCACTAAGCAGAAGGTTGAACTCAGGGGCCTTATAGGCCCCTTCCAACTCAATTATTCTATGGTTCTGTGAAACTAAATCCTTAATTAAAAAATTAAATATAATTTTTTTAAATTGCAGTAATAATTTTTTCACTAAACTCTGTATGTTCAACTTTAATATGGCTTACAGCTGATTACCTTAAATTAATAATGTTATTGGTTTCTCCTGCTGTAGTTATGTGATGATGATGCCATTTAAACGTCAAGCTTTGGTAGAATTTGAAGATATTGAAAGTGCCAAAAAGTGTGTGACATTTGCAGCAGATGAACCAGTATATATAGCTGGACAACAAGCATTTTTCAACTACTCTACAAGCAAAAGAATTACTCGGCCAGGAAATACAGATGACCCCTCTGGAGGAAATAAAGTTCTTCTCTTGTCAATTCAGAATCCTCTGTATCCAATTACTGTGGTAGGTATTATTCTTGCATGTTTTAAGTTACATCAAAGTAACAAGCTTTCCTAATGACTATGCTACTTATTTGCAGTTGGTGGTACGTATACCACATATCACTGGTGGACCATGGAAACAATGGGATGGAGAAGTGGGAAACAGTAGCCAAAATCCAGTTCTTTGTATAGTAAATTAGACAAAAGTAGGCACATTGACTCTATGTGGATTTAATGAGTCAACTTGACCATAAATTTCATTGATTCAAATTAACATACTCTAAATGCAACTTATTTTAGCATAGTAGGTTGCAGTTAGAATAGGCCCATTTAAATCGGTTGAATTTATGAAGGGGTTAGTTTACTAAAGCCTCATTGATTAAGTGGGCTAACTCTAGTGCCATTTACTAACAGAATTTTGGCTAGTGCTTTCTAAACAACTCCTGATAAGTAATAACATACTTTCAGCTAGTAATGGAATCATTGGGGGGAGGGTAGATTTACTGGCAAGAATTCTATCTGTTTTGATGGAATGATGGGTGGAATGTAAGATGCAAAGTATCAAGAGAATAATTTCCCTGTGTGGACCTTTGGTGGGTGCAGATATCTGTAGTTATAAGTAAAGAAAATGTGTACTACAGACATCTGGGTAATATAGTCATTGGTATAGATGTCTGTAGTTATTAGTAAAGAAAATGAACACATCCTTGAATATACACACACACTTCCTTTCTTTGCAGAGTAATTTGTTCCAAAAGTTAAGGAAACGGTTGCTTCATCTAGTAAACTGTTGTACAAGAATGGATTAGATAACTGATTTGGTTTCATTAAAGGCATTGATGAAATTGTTTCATCAGAAGATTAGTTCTAGGAAGTTTTTCAGGCAGACCATAATGGATGAGAAATGTATTAGTGTAGAAATGGCTTCCTGTTTTAATAATGTGTTGCAAGACTTGCCGTATGCATTTTTCATTTAAGTTATCAATTGCTTGGGGGTTTTCTCACCATACAGTACTTGTCTATTAATACTGCTTATTGGTTTATGTCCCCCACTTTTATTTGTCTTAATGAGCCTCCTATGATGTAGTATGGATTATTTTCCCATTCTGAAGCCTTTAAAGAATAATCTTTAAATGCATCTGGAATCTGATATCTAAAAACTCCTTTCTGTTTGGCCAAACAATCTAGAATAAAATGTTTCTAATAAAAGCTATTTTCAGTTTGTCCCATATTAAATAGTTTTGCTTTTTATTATTCTGGCATTGGTCTGTAAGGCAGTTAGTTACGGGAAGAAACATGACCCACATTCTGTGTTTGTGTTATGGAAATTTATCCTTAAAAGGTAAAACCCATTATTTGAATTGAGATTAAGTGTTGTTGTGAATACAAGGACCTTTCTACTTGTTCAAGGCAGCTTTTGTGAATTTCTTCTGTCTCACTGCTGCCCTTGTTGCATCATATACCATTTCAGAAGTGTCCTCAGCCCTCAGTAGTGGTTTTGCAAGGGGGCACAGTACAGTACTGTGTAGTGCTAGGGAAAACCAGAAAGGTTCATCTATGCATGCAAAGCAACGTACCCTCTAACTTTCAGCCCCATTGGGCGGGGCTCCGCCTCTTGCGCATACGAATTTGCTCCTGCGCACACAACTCCACCCCCCCCATGCAGGGTTCCGTCATGACTAGAACCTAATGCGATCACTGCGCAGAGGAGGAAGACAACTGCATGGAGGGAGACAGAGGGGCATACGCACCCAGCTTAGAGGGAACCTTGATGCAAAATGTTTTGCCTGTCTCTTAGTCCAGCCCTAGCTAGTAGAGGAAAACAAAGCTTTTAAACACAGACAGATAACCTTAATATAGCATTGCTGTTTGGATTGTATTCTGTTAATATACTAAACCTAAATATACTAAATGAGCTAAAAACTTATTCTCTCATGGTTATATAAATACTCAAGGAAGATGGAGAGAACAGTGGTTTAGCCAGGGATAAATGCATTTCTTGATTTGGGGAGAGTTCTCTAGAGCAGTGGCTCCCAACATTTTTGGAGGGGCAGGGTCTGTGTGCAGGGGGACACCCCTGCGCTTGTGGGGTGCGGGCATGTATGCGTCGAGGGGAGGGGCATACTCGTGGGTAGGCGGGGTACTCGCGCGGGTGGCGGGCTCTGCATGTGGGGACCTGAGAGATCTGTCTCTGCGGCCCGGTCCTGCCATGGCCACAGACTGGCACCAGGCCACAAACCGGGGGTTGGGGACCCCTGCTCTACAGGCTTTTATCCAAACAAATTATGAAATAATAATATTGGTGAACATTTATCAATGTTTAAAATGAATACTTTTTCTTTTATAGGATGTTTTGTATACAGTATGCAATCCTGTTGGGAAAGTGCAGCGTATTGTCATATTCAAGAGAAATGGAATACAAGCCATGGTTGAATATCCTTTTTTATGACTTTTATTTTGAATAGTTTATGTTGTAGGGCCCCATCCCATCAACTACCAAGGATTTCACAGGTCCTCTAGTAAGGGGGAAATGTTCTGTGCCTCTCCCTTGAGTCATCTTGTCAGACAAGTAGTATTGTTAGGAAGGTGGTGTAGACAGTGTAATAACACATAAACTAACTAGGGCTTTCCAATATAGAACACATTTTGGAAACCACCTGTTAGAATATACCGCATGAAATTAATCTTGAGCGGACTGACACCAATTTGAGACAGATTTGTCAGTTATCAAAGCAATTCATATAGAAACTCAACATTGATGTTTCCTCATGTAAACTGAGTGTGACTTAAAAGAGCCCCAAGTGATTTCTTGCACAGATGTTCTGTTCTTATCTAAATTATCAGGACTTCTATCTGTTTGATTTGTTCTTGGGGTGGGGGAGAGGAAAAGATGGATTTAAATAAAAATTCTTAACATGATTTACATTTGAATCAGTTCTTTGTGCTCAGAAGGCAAAAGCAGCACTCAACGGAGCGGATATATATGCAGGATGCTGTACACTAAAAATTGAATATGCAAGGGTAATGTTCATACTTCCTTAAGCTTCTGTTTTCCTCTGGGAGGAAAACAATAAGACTTACTGTCTGTTTGTATCTTAACAGCCAACTCGTCTTAATGTCATTCGAAATGACAATGATAGTTGGGATTATACTAAACCATATCTGGGCAGACGAGGTAAGTGTTTTGGTAATCATTCTGAATGTTGTTCAAATACGTATATTTGGACAGTTAGCTTGTCTAATGCATTAGTCATTTCAAGCCAAGTATTGCTGGTGAAGCCCTGTAGCTGGCTGGTTGGCAGTGCTTTGCCATGATCGGTTCCCTATTTGGGGAACAGATCATGGCAAAGCAATGCTTTTTTAACAGATGACCGGCGGTTTCAAAATGGCCGTCCGCTGTTTTCTGGACAGATTCTTCGCTTAAGAGGCACGGAAAATGGCCGCCCCTATGGAGGATCTTCACTGAACGGTGAGTTTTTGCCCCATAGGAATGCATTAAACAGGGTTTAATGCGTTCCTATGGGTTTTTTTGTTCCGTTTAGCGATGTTTCTGGATAGCGACGTTAATCCTGGAACGGATTAACGTCGCTATGCGGGGCACCACTGTATTCTCGAAGGCTTTCACAGTTGAGAGCTGATGGTTGTTGTGGGTTTTTCAGGCTCTTTGGCCGTGTTCTGGAGGTTGTTCTTCCTGACGTTTCGCCAGTCTCTGTGGCCAGCATCTTCAGAGAACTGGAGTAGGAACTCTGTCCATGCTCTTGCTGTTTGTTGGATAGTTGAGTATTTATAGCTGTGGGAACAGCTTTTGTCCTTTTCAGGAGATAGGGTGATCAGCGTGTTTTTGTTGTTTTGTGCAATGACCCCGGGTCCTTATGGCTGGGTAGAATTTGTTGACCTTTTGCAGGCTATATTATTCAGTATTGGAAGCCAGGCCTTGTTTAGTTTTAGGCCTTCTTTTTTGTTGAAGTTCTGTTGATGCTTATGAATTTCAATAGCTTCCCTGTGCAATCTAACATAATGATTGCTGGTGTTGTCCAGTACTTCAGTATTTTGAAATAGAATTTCATGTCCAGCTTGTTTTGGGGCATGTTCACCTATTGTTGATTTTTCAGGTTGTTTTAGTCTGCAGTGTCTCTCATGTTCTTTGATTCTGGTGTGAATGCTGCGTTTTGTGGTTCCAATATATGCCTGTCCACAACTGCAAGGCATCCGGTATACTCCTACAGTGATGAGGGGGGGTCCCTTCTGTCCTTTGCTGACTGTAACATTTGCTGTATTTTTGTGGTGGGTCTGAATACAACAAAAATACAACAAATGTTACAGACAACACCAGCAATCATTATGTTGGACTGCACAGGGAAGCCATTGAAATCCATAAGCATCAATAGAACTTCAACAAAAAAGAAGAAGGCCTAAAACTAAACAAGGCCTGACTTCCAATACTGAATAATATAGCCCGCAAAAGGTCAACGAACTCTACCCAGCCACAAGGACCAGGGGTCATTGCACAAAAAAGACCAGCTAACGACATCCATCAATCACAGTGACAGATAATCTCTCCCCCCTTATCACAACAAAAACACGCTGATCACCCTATCTCCTGAAAAGGACAAAAGCCCACAGCTATAAATACTCAACTATCCAACAAACAGCAACAGAACATGGACAGAGTTCCTACTCCAGTCCTCTGAAGATGCCGGCCACAGAGACTGGCGAAACATCAGGAAGAACAACCTTCAGAACATGGCCAAAGAGCCCGAAAAACCCACAACAACCATCAGAACTCTCAAACTCCACTCCAGATTGTATCTAGTTGTTTGGCACTTGTGAAGTAACTTGTTGTTAATATGGTCTCCTTATTTATCTTCACTGCAAACTAGTTCTTTTTCCTACTTAATTAATATAATCCATTAATTAATTAATCTGTATTTTAATTAATTTTTTAAATTTTATTCATTAACCTATTTGTTAATACCGATTAACAAGTGTCATCCTACCTCTCTCTCTCTCTCTCTTTTTAATGTGGATTTTCCAGTTCTACAAGAAAACTCACTATTGACAAAGATACACAGAGGAACAGAAGGTGAAGCTTGTGTGTGTGGTGTTTCAGGTAGTCAAAGGGCAGAAACACTGTGTGCTGAAGAAATAGAAGCAGAAGAAGCGTTATTTCTGGCACTGCACTCGTGGGTAGGCGGGGTACTCGCGCGGGTGGTGGGCTCTGCATGTGGGGACCTGAGAGATCTGTCTCTGCGGCCCGGTCCTGCCATGGCCACAGACTGGCACCAGGCCACAAACCGGGGGTTGGGGACCCCTGCTCTACAGGCTTTTATCCAAACAAATTATGAAATAATAATATTGGTGAACATTTATCAATGTTTAAAATGAATACTTTTTCTTTTATAGGATGTTTTGTATACAGTATGCAATCCTGTTGGGAAAGTGCAGCGTATTGTCATATTCAAGAGAAATGGAATACAAGCCATGGTTGAATATCCTTTTTTATGACTTTTATTTTGAATAGTTTATGTTGTAGGGCCCCATCCCATCAACTACCAAGGATTTCACAGGTCCTCTAGTAAGGGGGAAATGTTCTGTGCCTCTCCCTTGAGTCATCTTGTCAGACAAGTAGTATTGTTAGGAAGGTGGTGTAGACAGTGTAATAACACATAAACTAACTAGGGCTTTCCAATATAGAACACATTTTGGAAACCACCTGTTAGAATATACCGCATGAAATTAATCTTTGAGCGGACTGACACCAATTTGAGACAGATTTGTCAGTTATCAAAGCAATTCATATAGAAACTCAACATTGATGTTTCCTCATGTAAACTGAGTGTGACTTAAAAGAGCCCCAAGTGATTTCTTGCACAGATGTTCTGTTCTTATCTAAATTATCAGGACTTCTATCTGTTTGATTTGTTCTTGGGGTGGGGGAGAGGAAAAGATGGATTTAAATAAAAATTCTTAACATGATTTACATTTGAATCAGTTCTTTGTGCTCAGAAGGCAAAAGCAGCACTCAACGGAGCGGATATATATGCAGGATGCTGTACACTAAAAATTGAATATGCAAGGGTAATGTTCATACTTCCTTAAGCTTCTGTTTTCCTCTGGGAGGAAAACAATAAGACTTACTGTCTGTTTGTATCTTAACAGCCAACTCGTCTTAATGTCATTCGAAATGACAATGATAGTTGGGATTATACTAAACCATATCTGGGCAGACGAGGTAAGTGTTTTGGTAATCATTCTGAATGTTGTTCAAATACGTATATTTGGACAGTTAGCTTGTCTAATGCATTAGTCATTTCAAGCCAAGTATTGCTGGTGAAGCCCTGTTGTAAAAGACATCCTGTAATCCTGGAAAAGAATAACTCAACACTAGTGTCCCCTGCTGGTAATATTGAGCTATTTAGTTCAACAAGGAGCCCCCACATGCAAGCATGTTTGCACTACAAGGACTTGCATTTCTCCAAGCAGCTCTCACTCTTTGGAGGAGAGGACACTGATGCAGACTATTTCTTACAAACTACAAACTTGCACACTACTTCTCCATGGAAAGGATTTTCCCCATATGTTGGACGAGGCTTTAAGAAGGATAGAGGACTCCAGCAGGCTGACTCTACACCTCATCATGCATTACATCGGCATCATCAGAAAGCCCTCTGAAAAACCTCAGACTTGCAACTCACTTTGACTGCATACTGCATGCATCATCACTACAAGCATTTCAAGGAGGACATACTTCTGGTTTGCATGGTATGAATCCCATGGTAGACTGTATCCTTTTTAATCCAGCCTGCATGTCTTTGTTTCCAGTCTTATGTCCCTAAAATACAGTTGTAGAATGAAACTGCATAAAATGGATGATCCAAGCTCTTGTTTCTAATACTGTACATTGTTTTGATTTTTTTCTTGTATGTAATAAAAAAATAGAAATTAGATTTTCCAATGTAAATATTATTTAGAGCACCACGCATATTTTAAGTATTATTTGGAATTCTTCAGCATCCTGTCGGACAGTTCCCATCAGGCACCAATATTTGGCACAAGGTACAATTTATTTAGGCATTTCTGCTGCAAAGCATAATTAAAACATTGTTTTCAGCAGTGCAGCTGCATGAAAATGTACAAAAAATTATGTAGTCTGATTTCTGTAAATATTCTTTGTAACTAAATGACTTGTATATAATTTACTGTAATGTACTTTTTAAAAATTTAGGCATTTATAACATGAAGTTGGGAACTTAACTTATCAAGGTAGAGTATCTTCTAAATTCTAAACATGAAAATGAAGGCTTCAGTCAGTCTTTTAACATGCCAAAAGACTGGTTTTTATTGGTAGTGCTTTGGCTTGTGAAATGTATGATTACAACTTAGGTCTTACACATGCAGAATTAAATATTTGTAAAAGGTTACTAAGGGGGCTACAGTATTGGTTAGCAGCTCATCCAACCTCAGTAATGTTAAAGTTAACCCTTTTAATCAAACTGCGTGGTAACTATTTTTGCTGTAACGCTTCTGAATTAACAAGAGGTATATTCAAGCACATGAAATTCAGCTCAGATAGTATTTATTAAATGTGACTTGCCTCAGTAAATAAAACCATGGGAAATGAGAAATCTTTCTGTAAATGAAACAGGAGTATTAAAAGACTTGACAGAGTCAAGTAGAAATTTTTGGATCTTATTTTAACAGCAGTTCTTGTGCCATATTGCAAGCTGCTTTTGAAAGTCATCTCATTTCCAGAACAGTTGCCATGTTTCTTTCTTTGTTGCCTGCCTTTCCAGCTTAAATTTAGGATGCTGATTTCAGCATGCTTTCCATAAAAGAGACTCCCATTTGAATTTGTTCACATGAGAGAATATACCAAATTTAGTGCTGGATTGAATATCAGCTAATTTAAAATAGCAATTTTAAACATTCTGACTATTAAACTAGTATATGTTTGGTTAACTTCATATTTGGACCTTTCCTAAAGTATTTAAGGTACTTAGTCTCATAGCTCTGTGAGATATTTTAGGCTAAGAGAGTAATTTTGCTGAAGTGAACTAACTTGAATTTGAACTAATTTGAATTTCAGAACAAGGCAAGCTGAACCTGATTTTTTCATTGCCAAGCCTGCGTAACAATGGCAGTATGCTGCCAAGAAAAAAACTGCTTTGCTGAAAAAAACATTATCTGCAGCTATTTTATTCCTAATCCATTTTGTTTGTATTTATTTAGAGCCTATATACTGATTTCATTAGTAATTTTTATGTAAATATAATTTTTTAAAACCTTAATTAACCTAATGGAAGCATGAAGTTTTCACTCAATGTGAGTACATCCCAGTTTCTGGTTGCAAAGGACTCCATTTGATGGAAGATTCTGTAGGTCAGTCAGGATAATTAAGATTAAATACATCAATTTTGGACAAATATTGCTGTAGTCAGGCTACAGGATGGGTGGGGAGATAGTCTTTTGGCTGCTAGCCAGAATGAAATTTGACTCTCCACTGTGCTAAAGGATGAGTGGTTTGCTCCCATTTGCAGAAGGAGGCAAATGATAGTAATCAAACATTATATACCACCGACCTAATTTTAGTTTGTGATATTTGGATGCAACTATTTTCTCAAAATTTCTTCATGGTAGTGAATTAATTTCCATGATATCCTTATAGGATTGTCTTGCAGCCTTAATGTGGAGATTGCAGTCATTTGTGTGGGTGGTCTAGTAGGAAGGAAAATGACAATTCTATACAGTGGTGCCCCGCAAGACTATGTTAATTCGTTCAGCGAAAATCGCTATCTTGTGAAAACATTGTCTTGCGAAATGCGGTTCCCCATTAGAATGCATTGAAATCCATTTAATGCGTTCCAATGGGGACAAATCATAGTTGGTTTGCGAGAATCGCCCATAGAGAAACCGTTTTGCGAAGTGCCGATCAGCTGTTAAAATCGCTGTCTTGCGAAAATTGGTCCCGAAAACACCCGTTTTGCGAGTTGCGGACCTAGCTGTGTTAAATTGCCATCTTGCGAAAATTGGTCCCGGAAAAAAAAAGTTGCGAAGCACGGCCCGAAACATCGTATAGCAAAAATCACCCATAGGAAACACTGTTTTGCGAAGCGCTATAGCGATTGCAAAAACTCATTGTCATGTGGGTTCATCGTTTTGCGAGGTAATCGTCTAGCGGGGCACCACTGTACTACATTCACTTTAAATCATAAAATTATTTTCATTCCTCTTTAAAACTGAAATTATTGGCCAAATTCCTTTTGTGTAGCTATGCAAGTGGTGTAGCTATGCAAGCAAGTGTCAGATACATGGGTCTGTTCAACGTACAAAAGGGGAGCTTCATTGTCCCTTGCACAGTAAGTTATGAGTCTGAAGAGGAAGGTTTCCTGTTTACTTCAGCGCTCTACTTACATTAACAAGAATGCCGGTTTTTCAGCATCATCATTCACATGGGAGAGCCTCTGCACAAAGAGGAGCTTTTTTCTTTCAAACCTTTCATTTTCCTTAGGAAGAAAAAGACTAGGGGTAGAGCTGAGCCCTCAGCTGCAGAAGTGGGTGAATAATGTTTGAATAAGGCTTTTGTTACTTCAGCTTCTGAGCATCTTGATGTACATACCCTAAATTGATATGGGGACTTGTTTGCCTCCAAGCATTAACTGGCTAGGACAAAAACCTACCCCAGTGGCAATATACATTAAATTTATTGGGAGAAGTTTTGTCTTGGCTATTGTGTTTTTTCCCTATAATAAAAAGAGAAAACCCTACATACCCAGAGTTGAAACTAGGGGATATTACATGTGATTATGCAAGAAAAATATGAGTGAGGAAATAAAATCCTAAACTAATTTTATTCCAATTTATTTTTATTTTTGTTAGAACACTAATGTACAGAACAACTGTATCAATATTCACAGATGAAACATTAAAGAAACTTAAAACAATCAAAAGAATGACATCTCATAAAATATAATTAATCACTCTGCTGTGAAGTAAACTCTGCTGAAATGGTGGAGCCTGCTTGGGATCAGAGTGCTAAAATGCCCCTTTTTGTATTTTCCCCTCAGTACCTATTAGAATGCACCCCAATTTCTTTTAATCTGAACAGGCTATCTTAATATTTCAAACAATTTTTTAAAAATACTCTCTCCATCAAAGCTGGGGTCTCAAATCCCAGCAGTTTCCATGAAGTTGATGTAAACTTTTCCTTAAACTTTTTGTCAAAGTGTACGCTACTTGGGTTGGATGTGTTTCATTTCTCATGGTTTTGAAAATAACTGAGGTATTGGCATTTCGCATTGTTTAATGAAAGCAAGCAGTGTAAATTAACTATGACTGCTACTTATCAAGAAAATTTGTAATAAACATTTATTGTATTGTTGTAAATAATCACTTGAAGTTGGTCACTGCTTTCATCCAGTAGTGTTGACCCCTTGGTTAACTTTATATTGTGTAACCTGCAGTTTGCTGGAAGAGCTTTTCATTGTTAAAAGTGCTTTTAAAAAATGAAATTTAATGCAATTATAATATAGACTGTATAACGTATAACAGTGTAGCAATGTATAGTAATCTCACCATTACCCGCCAATAGCTATTGGTGTAATTATGTATTACGCAAATGTGGTACTCTGTGTTTACTGATTATGAAACCATGTAATACAGGTTGTTGTTGGATTGTGCTGAAACTTCTTGAAAGAAGCCTACTTTGAAAATGTGTTGCTGTTGAAGCTAATAGTGTGATTCAGGTACTGTCCTTTGAAAGTACTGCATTTACAACTTGTTTTTATCAGAATTATAGGTAATTTTTTACTTTATAGTATTGTGTGATGTTAAGAGAACAGTCCAATTTTCTTAGGTTTAATTCCTTGCAGCTGGGGGAATTTCTTCTCAAATGCAGTATTTTTATGCCAGTAATTATTGTGTTCTACAGCTACGTATGTGTTAAAATGTAAGTCAGTTTAAATGAATGTCTTAAAGTAACTAAGAGTCATGTCTTAATTTAATATGCAGTATCTGCTTAGTCACTTTTAGAAGCATGCTACAGGACTAGGTGACCATTGGTCTGATCCAGTGCAGTTGCTCTTGTCATCTTAATTGGAAAATGTGTCTTTCTTCTTACTGACAAAGTTCCAGTATCTTTGGAAGGAGTTTCTTGTGTGTGGTGTCTGCTTTGCTTTGGTTTCTAATACAGTTTTTCTCTCCTTTAGACAGAGGGAAAGGGCGTCAGAGACAAGCAATTTTAGGAGAACACCCATCATCATTTAGGCATGATGGCTATGGTATGTTCTGTGGTTTCTAGTCGTGTCATTGATTAATATAACCTGTTCCTTTTTGCAATTGATGCTTGTAGGAAGATTCATGCTAGATCATACCAAAGACCTATTTAGTCTAGCCTTCTGGTCAACCACATTTTTATTTTATTTATTTAACTTATATGCCGCCCACTCTACCCAAAGGTCTCTGGGCGGCTTACAACAATTAAAATACAATAAAAAAGATAAAACAATTAAAATATATACTCTAAAAATTGCCATCAGGACCTACGGTTGATATTTCAATTAAAGGCCTTCTGAAACAGGAAGGTTTTGACCTGGCACCGAAATGTCATCAGTGTCTGTGCCAGATGAATCTCAATTGGAATGGTGTTCCGTAGTCTAAGGGCAGCTGCCGAAAAGACCCTTTGTCTACAAGTCATCCCTCTTACCTCCTTGAGGAACGGCTCTTTCAAAAGGGCCCCCTGGCTAGATCTTAACTGCCAGGTAGGTTCTAGGAATCCCATATGTAAGACATGAGCAGACTCCTGTTCATTTGTACCCAGTTCTATTACAGTGGTGCCTCGCATAACGAGCGCCCCGTTTAACAACGAATCTGCATAGCGATTTGTTTTTTGCGATCGCAAAAGCGATCACATTGCGATGTTCTCTATGGGGAAAAATCTCTTTGCGATTTTTCCCCATAGGTCCCCAGCGGGCGCTCCGCCGCTCGGAAGCACTGGCCGGCATTT